GTGAGGAACAACGACTGAGACTTAAGTAACCAGCAGTAGTACTCACCATGTATGGGTATCTTCTATTTGCATAGAAATATGAGATGTTTATTCCATTTTATTCAAGTGTCTGTCCCCCAAGGTGTCTGTTCAGGAAAAATGTTTGGTGACCCCTGAACTAAAGGGTCAGGGTCCAAGAATATCTTAACTTAACATCACCTAACCAGAAATAATTTTGTTACCGTCTTATATTATTTATTTATTATTGTTATTAAATATGTACTATACTTTAAATTTTATAAATATTTTTTAATATATTAATATTAAATATATTATTTATTTATATATTTAAAAAAAAAAATTTCTTGCACAGGAAGTTGTCAGCTTCCCAATGAAAAAAAACTGATTGAAAGTTATTTGATGAAATCATATTACTCTGTAGATTTCTAAGCCAAATGTATCATGGGTATTTGTAAAACAGTCTTGCGACCTATTTACCCACCTGTGTTATATTGTAATAATAATATTTAAGTCTCATATTAGACCCATAATAGGCTGCCACAGGAGGCGCCACTGCAACAGTTAGCCACAGTTTGTGTTTTGAACGGTCTTTTACTCCAAATGTTGAAAAGGGTTTATTAATACGTCACTCATCTCTCTGATCGTTTCTCTGTGCACCCAGGGCCGGGACTACTGTTCGGAGGAGGAGGAGGAGGATTTGACATAGCACTGTGCTCAACCGCTCATCAGCCCGAATAAATTAGAAGACACTGACATCCAGCGTAAAAAAAAAAAAAACATGGACGCCTTGGTTTTCACTGTACACGCCTAAGAAGAACGGAATATTGACTTAAGTCGAGCACCTTTTCAACGTAATCACAACCTGCTTTTACTGATTAACCCCGGAGAAAAGAGACTCAAATCGTGATCGAAGCTGGTTCAGTATTGTTCCGTTAACAAAACTAAGATTACTTCTACACTTAAAGCCATGGAAAAATCTGGAGAATCTACAAAAAACAAAAACCAACAACAACTCTCCAGTTTTCGTTTTCAGCTTGGACATATCCTCAATGATCAGTAGCAAGATCGTCTAGCAGCGCTCAAGCTGCAGATCGAAATCTACGATGGAGAAACGGAGCAGTGCCATTGTGGAAACGGTGTTATTTTAAGTATTACATCCTCTAGTTTCGCTTCTTGATTAAGAGGGAACAGGTTTGGAAAGTGGCAGCATTCCAGACACAGTATGTACCTCATTCCCACAGCACGTCGGCCAGTGCAGTGTGTTCGTCCCCGTTCTCCGTGCAGAGTATTTATGTTGACTTTTTTAAGGCTCAGGGCTGAAGTATTGTCCTCTCTTCTTATTTTCTCCTCTCTGTGGTCCAGTTCGTCCTTACATCCAGACACTGACGCACCATTCAACAGAGACACATGCACTCGCGCAGCAAGTCACGGATTTGTCCTGCTTTCATATTAACTCTACACACACACACACACACACACTGCATTGTCACATGATAGTCAGAGTATGTATTTTACTCACCAGTGTTATGTTTTTTTGTTTGTTTCTATGTTGAATTTTTTGCTTTTTTTAGAAAATTAAATGTTTTCAGTAATAAGTGTCACTGTTTTATTCACTTTTTCACACTTCACACAAAATTTTAAAAAATTCAAGAAACCCGAAAAACATGTTTAAACCATTTTTAGAGGCAGTGGTTTTCAACCTTGGGGATGCGGCCCTATGTGGACTCATCTTGATTTCAAATGGGGACACCTGAAATAGTGTAGTCTAGAAATGAATTAAAAAACAAACAAACTGATAAATATTTTTTCCACTATTTTTTTTAATTATTAGAAACAAAATCTTAAACATCTGTATATTTTATCTGTAAAAAAATTACAGTCACATAAAATACAGCATATAAAAAAATCAGAGCAAAAGGGAATTAAAAAAAAAAATTCTCTGGAGTCACCAGCAATTTGTGAGGTCATAAAGGGGACATGAGACATTCTTGCAAATGTCTTCCACATCACTTCGTACTGGTGTGGACCTCAAACGTCCACAGACTGAGCATCACTGTCTGTCCCTGTGTCTCTGCTGGGTTCTTCTCTACTTTGTCCTCATCTTCCCACAGGTGCTCAGTTCTGATGTCGTCTTTTCCGATGCTGCCGGCGCCCCGCATCCTGGAACGGCCCCACAGGAGGGTCAGGCGTGACCAAACCGTCAGTCATCCTCTGGTAGACCAGGGTCGAGTCGGACCCCACCGCACACAGCAGCATGGGGAAGCCTCTGTCCAACACCTGCCGTATGCTGCACAGAGGGGAAAAAAGGGGGGGAGGTTATTGAAAAGGGAACTGATGCCCAGAAATTCTCGGGTCGTGGGTCACACTCTCATCACCTGGCGTGGCTCAGAGGTCGATGAACAGGCAACGGGAGAACAGTCTGGATATTTGCTCCTTCCTTTTCCCGACCCTCCAAAACCACCAGCTGCAGTTCCGAGCTCTTGACACAGGACACGTCTTTCCATCGTCGTACTGTGTAGAACAGAAATATTTACACATAAATATTGTTAAGATTATATTTTAAAATCCCACTTTTGAATGTTGAGGTTGAAGAAGAAATCTAAGGCAAAAATAATTTTGAATTATTATTATTATTTGTATTTATTTTCAACATCAACTAGCTGTTCAGATTCAGAGACAGAAACATTCATCCACATTTTTATAGTTTGTGAACAAAATGGCTACAACTGAGACAACATAGTCATTCTGAAAGTGGGGCCTGGAAAGGTTTGTCTCGAAAGTCATGTGACCAACAAAAAAAAAAACTCCACAGCATTATCATACCCGCAGTGAGGTCCATGCTCCACAACATTATCATACCCGCAGTGAGGTCCATGTAGACCAGAAAGGCTGCATGCTGCTGAGCGCTGTCCTCGACCTCCAGACTCTTTATTTCCAGGTACTGACACAAAGACATAACACAGGTCATGTTTAAAGCACTGAGCTTTTACATTACATTAAACCACCTACTCACCGCTGGATGATGCAGGATCCAGTTCTGAGGCGGAGGTTTCTCTGAACCCGTGGCTTTATCCGACGTAACAGACATTTAACAAAAAATAAAGTTAATTAAACAGCGACAAAGAACGTAACAAGCTACCTTTTCTACACACGAAAACCCCGCATAATTGCCACTAATGCTAATGCTGCTGTCTCAGTTTCTTTCATACATCCATGTTTACACGTTTTGCACGTGTGCAACCCTCAAAATCACTCGGGTAGGACTTTTTTTGTGGCGTCATACGTTCCGCTGAACCGAAAGGAACATAACTACCTTTCAAGTTCATTATTTAAAACTTGTGTTTATGAATTAAAGTTCATAAAAAATCATGGGATATGTATTTAATAGCACACTTGTAACCCCCTTGTTTCGCCCACTTTCTATTCGTATAAAGTAATTAACAAGCTTGGCGGAAAATCTGAAAAAAAAAAAAAAACACCAGGTGGTAGTAATGTAACCCAAATGAGTTAGCAGGAATAGTTTAACTTACTAGACCATCAGAGGCTATTTGATGTTGACATAATGAAGCACTTACTAAAAACGTTGTGTGAACCAGTGCAAAAGAAAAGGCCCTGTGAGCATTTTTGAAATATATTTCTTGTTCTCACAGTCCTGACAAATGTCTCAGCCATTTGTAAATAGATATTTCCTTCCATTTGTCTTTTTCTTTACTTCTTCACAGAAGTCAGCCGTTGACAGAGGCCGCTTCAGTGAATCAAATGGGAAACAGATGCACGTGGATTGTCGACACCGACCGATGACACTGTAATTTATTTATTACAAAGTTGTTGTTTTTTTTAATTATTAATGTCTGAAATATTCTGCAGTTTGATGGATGTGGAATGTAACACAATTTCAAATTCTTTTTTTTTCTTTAAAGCAAGGTAATATTTTTATGATTTCATTTTACTGAATATCAGAATATCAGATTAACACTCACAGCCTAACGCATAACTTATTTGTGCGAATAAAAGATGGAGGCCTGAGTTAACTTAAGAATCTTTATTTTAAAAAAAGCACTGGTATGTTCATGTCAAGCAAACGATGGAACTCTTTCATATTAGTACTGTTCCATGTCAAGGTGAATTATGAAGATTATTAAACCACACAAATGATACTTTTCTCGTAATAAATTAATCACCATAACAAAACTTTTTACATGCTTGTACTTCGGTGTTTTGCGGAGTATATTATTGAAAGTCCGATGCTGGAAATTTAAGACACCTGAGAATATAAATATCGATACAGCTTTTTGCAGCAAAGATGTTCAGTTCCACAGTTTCCTCCCGTTTTACCTCAACTAAAGCTCTCGCAGGAGGAGTTTTTAAAATTACACCAATGTAAAAATTAGGCATTAATTTAAAAAACTTTTTCTTCTTCTTTACTGTACAATGTGCATATCTGAATTAGTGTGGTAAAGAGAAATGTTTATTTTTCTCTCAACAAGGCAGCGCAGAAGGAAAACAGAATCCATAGTGGGCATTTTCTCATCTGACATCAGTGATATAAACACAAAAATTTGGACTGAGCTTTTTTTTTCCATTTAGGTCTGCAGTGAAACAACATTCTTTACAAAATAAAATAAATGATCAGCCCCTGCCCCTCTTTGAAAAAGTGGATTTAAAAAAAAAAACCACTGTCTCACTGCGGCTAAAAGGAATTAGGCTATTACACAGGCAGTAGTGATGTTGGGATAACAAGTCAACACAATACGAGGGGAAAAAAAAAGCTACATTACAGACCATCGAGCTGATCAAAAGTAATTCCTGAAACCTAATAGCTTTATGTGGATTTCTCATGAACTGTTTGGATGGATGCTGAACAGATACAGAAACAGAGAAAGTGAGGTATGTTCTTCTTGAGTGAATAATAGAACCTTCAAAAGAGAGAGAGAGTCTGACTGAGGAGTACCTTCCATCTCTGACAGAACATGGAAGGATACGATTCTGTGTGAAGGCTTCGAGGAAAAAAAAAATACAGGTATTTTGTGTGTGATCATTGGTCCATGTGTTTGAGGCTACTGCCAGCAGCGACCATAAACTGTCTCTGTAGAAATGCGTACAGAACTCCATGTAAGGAATGCAGTTGCTTCAGTTACAGCGGCTCCAGTGAAAGTGAACAGACTGATGCTGAAATGGCAGGATGTGTCGGTTTGAAGTACGGATGTGGAGGGTGCCTGAGGTTTTGTCACTTTTGATCATGGCGCATAGAAAGGGTGTTAACAGGAACAAAAATAGTCATATATGTATATATATATATATATATGAAATGGACAGAGATGGCTGGTTGCAAAAGTAATAATGTAAATGCAACACTTTTACAACGTAGGAAATCTCCACTTGTTTTGGGAGTGATCACCAGTGATTCCCATGGATCGATGATGTCAGCTTTGTTCTGAGAGTTAATGGTGTTTTTCCATTGAAAATGTCATTCGGAGATTGAGAGATCAGCATTTTTATTTATTTTTTAATTCTGATCCCATTTAGTAGAAAAAAAATTAAGCTATCTTTCCGTTTCTGAAACACGTGGAGAACTTCTGATATACCTCTTCAATATACAATATTATTTGCAACCAGACCAACCCATTCCTTTTCTTACATATGGACCATAGCATCAATGAAGTGTGTGGAGTAAAAGGAAAAAAAAAAAAAGAACATCACTGCAAAATTTAAATTCAACAATTTCCACGAGCAAATGACGGCCTGAATTAATACAAAGACATTGAAATAAAATTAAAACATCAAAAAAAAAAAAAAAACTTCTCTTTTTTTCAAACATGCTTTCTAAAGCACTTGGACAAAAAAGGACAGTTTTACAAACCATCGGTTTTAACACACATCAGCAAAGTTCCACGATGCTCACTAGTGGAAGCATAGTAACAGTGCAAGCCATTACACTATTCAGCCAGATACACCTGTAAGAAAAAGTGCCATGTTACATAATGAGTATCTGTCAAGAGCCCATGCATGGGCAAATATATCTATATATATATAAACCTATACAATGATTCAACTGTAAACATGGTGCAAAGTAGTTATAACATAGTTTAAGGCTTTTCAGAGTTTCCTGAAGATTTGTTGTTCACTGAGATAAAAGGAGTACGTCCAAAGGTTTGGACAGTGAGGAGACCTGGATTCCATATATAGCTCACTTGGATTTTCAATATCTTTCTTTCGGCGTCTTTTACATGCAGTCTGCTTAATTCAGTCAAGCGTTAGTTTTGCTATTAATCCGGCTATATTTAGGCGCTAACCTGCTCCAACAGACCCGACAGGGTTTTATTTTTCATTTCCTTTTTTTTTGTCTTCCAAAAACACAGCAGCAGCAGTTTATTTTATTACCTTGGCAGCCATTTTTGTTCACCCAACATGAATGTGGTGACATTCTTAGCTGCAGTTCGTTTAAAATTAGGATGTGCATGAAAGGCTCGATAATAAACGCACACAAAATGGTGAAGAAAAATCTCTTGACTTAGCTCATATAACCAGAAAACTATTCCTTTTTTTAATCGACGTAGCAAAATTGAGTCCTTCATAAACAGGAGAGGGCCTCAACCTGAAGGACTGGTATTTTTAACCAGTTTTATTATACAGGCTCTGCTGATGCTAGCTGCGTCTAAAAGTAGAATATGCAAGAGTTAACAACTATTTGGATTGGAGAACATGAGTGAAGTATTATTTGAGGAGAGAACAGGAGATTCACATTGTTAAATGTGTGGCTTATGACTGAAATATAACAGTACAATTGTACTTCTGTCACAGTGTTGTTTGGGCGTACAGCCGGGCAGATCAACTGACACCATCTCCTGAGAGCCGTGGACTCCTTTGAGGAAAGCAAGATGGATGCCAATGCTGTTCCCATTGACGCCGAAGCCACACTCGCATATCCTACCTTTAAAGGTAAAAGACCCCCCGTCTAAATACTCCTGCCATTTTTGACTCCTAGTGAGCACCGCGGTTGCAATAGGAATTGTTACTGTATTCATTTTATTCCAGTTTTACTGAGCCGAAAGCGTGTGAAGGCCTTATATTGAAGGCTGCAGAAAAAAAATAAGCTCAACTTAAGTTTCTTTGTTTGCATCTAACTTTTTCATCACACACACAACTTGCTAGTTCTGTTGTTAGCAAAAATATTAAACACACCGACACACACAAGCAAACTCATTCTAATATCTTAAGCATATACTGTTACCCCTAATATAAGGACTACAATTCATCAAAAGTATCCATTTTTTTTTGCCGCTAATGAGCGTCGAGATCTTTCTACGATAAAAGCTCAAAGCTTATTTACATTTGCATCAGTGATCAGCTGATTTAGGCTTGAGGATGGCGTGCAAACAGCTCTTCTACAGTGAAGTTTGACCCACTTTCAGGAGAAAAAAAAAAGACATATGTAGGTTCTATTTTAAATTCTAAATATATATAAAAATAACAAGGAAAAAAAGAAGGAATGTGTCACCAATAAAACTCAAAAGCTACAAAAAAAAAGCTAAAAAGCTTCTAGCCACTGCCTCACTACCTAGTATCACAACATTGTGCTAATCATGGTTAATAAACGATACTGAAAAGCACAACGATCAGTAAAATAAGCACAAAACAAGTGTTTGGTAAGAATAAAGAAAGAAAAACCCTGCGACGCTTTTATGTCTCAGTTTGAAATTGGGGCTTTTGTTCAGGGTGTATTTTCTTTCAATCTAATTTGAAGAAAATACAGAAAAGAAAAAAAAAAAAAGCTGACATAAACAGGCCATTTTCTGTTAAATGAACAAAGTATATTTTCTGCTGCCCACATGCATGTTTCATGACTACACATTAGCTTGGACTATCTGAGTTTTTAAAGCCAGTGCTGTAAGTCGGTCGGTCTTACAGCTGCAGGACATAAATGGTTCCTGCAGTACCTGAAGTTCATAGGCATAAACAAACGTACTTTTGTCCAGTACTGAGCTACAAGGTCGTTTGAACGTTAGCTTCTCCTTTGTCGTAATAAAGTAGGGCTGTCCCTCCAAAACGGAAACTCTGATATTTATTACGGGCGGATTAAAGTTCAAATTCCAACTTCACGTTCATAATCATTTTCAACCAAACTAACTTATATTAAATGACTATCATTAGCTTGCTTGCTAATAACACAAAATGAATCGCTAGATGACAGCCCTAGAATAAACCATAATAATGGATTATACCATACGATCAATAGATTTACGCAGTGGTTTGCATTAGACATCATAACTCCAGTATGTTACTCCAGTCTGCCCTACAGTAAACATTAGACACGTGGTTTGATACAACTGTTAACCAGGAATGTAACTGAAAATGCAGAGATCACAGAATTGCCTAGAGAACACAATAACTGAAGAAAACGTTGAAATCCTCCGTTCTTGAAAATTCAAAAAACATTTTGTGAAAGCCAAACCTAGTTGTAATGACCAGACCACAAAAGGTCACGTGACTCATCTCGGTGGCCGGAGTCGAGGCTGCTTGGCCCGTGCAGGTGTGGTGTATTGGAAAACTAAATAGAAAAATCATCCTTAATCTGTGGGCCGTGATTGTAGCTGGTAATCTTGGAAAATATTGGTGTTCCGTGTTTTCCCCGTTGAGGCCCTGCACACGGGAGGACCTGACCATCCTAATGCCGTACGGCCGGGGTGGGAGTGGGGGATGCACCCTTGCGTTTTAACATGGAGAGCTCGAAGTCGGGGTGACGGCGGGCGTGCTTGATCAGGTGGTCGCTACGCATGAAGCGCTTATCGCACAGTGGACACAGGAAGCGCTTTTCGCCCGTGTGGGTGCGAGTGTGGCGGGCGAGCTCGTCCGAGCGAGCAAATTTCTTCTCACAGTCGGGCCAAGTGCATGGGAAAGGCCTCTCACCTGCAGCATGGGGACGAAAAAAGAAAATCCTACATTGAAAAACCCTCTTGATACAGTGTCAACATTATCGTTTTCTGGACAACACCTTGCACACCCAAAGAATTAGTTTTGAATATTGATTACTCTGTAACATATTTACTAATGTACTTTTCCTTCAACAAAACGACCTTTTTTTACAAAAAAGCAGAAATTACACACACTAGTAACAACACACAAACATATAAATTATTATTAACATAGTTGTGATTCATGTTAGTAGTTTTTTAACGAGAATTCACTGTAGGGGGTAAATTATCTTTGTGGCCCAACAGCTAAGGAGTTAGCTTCTCCAAATTAGCTTTCCTTAATCAGCTCGAGTCTGTTTCACTCAACACTATTCAGAACTTCCACCGAGGAGGACGCTCTCCTGGGTGCCATTTTCTCTTATGATCACGAAGCCAGGCCACGTTGTTGTTGTAGGACACTTTGAGGGCGTTCCCATCACCACCTCTTTATTTCCTGTCTTTAATCCGTTTGCGCCTGCTCAGTCTGCGGTACCGGACCACGAAGGCACCACTTTTAAAGAGTAACAAGTAAAACTAGTCGTTTGTTATACAGCATTGTCGTATTAGACTGCAACTGTTACAACCACGTGAGACGCAGTGTCTGTGGATAATCGACAGTTCACAAACTCCGGCGCATTTAAAGTTTCACGAGTTCATCCCGAGAGGGGGATGCAGCGATGTAAAGACACAAAAAAGCTACAGTAGCAGAAAATCCCGCAACACTCGGTGCTGCTGCTGCCATCATCAGGGCAGTCAGTGTCCTACAGTGAACCCGCTGCTGTTCACGTTAAGGTTTCGTCTTACGTTCATTTCATATGCAAATCAAACTGGAGGAAGACCTCCGTCACCGGTTCTAACGTCCAGCCCAATTCTTTTGTTAGTTTACTTCTTTGTCAGAATCTCGGGTGGAAACCTTTTTTTTCCGTCTGTTTCCCTCTTTGTCCACGCTGGTGAGTCAGGTTGATGGTTAAAATGCCGTCCCCACCCCCCCACCGTTACGTATCTATTGGTTTATCGAATAAAGTACAAAAGAACATTGGCTTTAATGACAACGACTCTTGTACTCAGGAGAACACAGATGGAGCTCAAGTGTTGTTGTCCTTCCTACCTGTGTGTGTCCGGATGTGTGCCTTCAGGTGGGACGATTTCCCATAAACTCTGTCGCATCCGTCAAAAGTGCACTGGTGTCTCTTCACTGGAGACCGCGGGGGCCCCACGCCTCCTCCCCCTCTCAGCTGCTGTCCCGGCACCGGGGTAGCGGAGGGGGTCATGGTAGGGGTGGTCGGGTCGGACAACGTGGTGTAGCCGCTCTCCCCACCACATGATGAGTTGCTGCTCTCGGAGTAGGCAGACATGGGCCGGAACTTACCATGTAGGTCAGTGAGGATACCGGCCACCGCCATCATGTTGGCCCCTTCGAGCCGTAGTGTCTCCCGCACTTCCCGATCCTCGCTCGTCCCGTCGGGCTCCCTGGGGAGCAGGCCCATCGTGGCTGGCTGGCTGGCGGGTGCGACTGGGGTGGGTCTGTGCAGCACTGGACCACTAGATATGGAGACCAGACACTCGGCGGCGAAATAGTCGGAGGAGGCCGTCAACGACATTGTTTTCGTCCTTGGTTTTTTGTTAACTAAAACGAGAAAAGGCAACAAACAAATCCACCAGGAGGGGCAGAAACTGTTTTTCTGATCCAGACCTCGTTTTCATCAAACTCGACAAACCAACCGTTTCCAGTTGAGCTTTGTAACCGCCATAAAGGGTATCGGTCGTGTTAAAAAAAATCGTAAGAAGCCCAAGAAATGCACAAAAGAGAGGAACCATGTGCTAAAACCGAACTAAAAGCACTAAGCCAACAAATACACACCACTCCGGCTGACGGTTCATTGTGTCTGAACCTCGTAGAAGCCGGTCAAACCTACGCCCCCTGGTCCGGACTAAAGATGCATTCAAGTACACTCGGAGAAAAATGAAACCATATATTTTCTCTTTAAAAAATGATCGAAATTATGTTACATATGTTGTTATCGTTACAGTTGTCAAAATCAAGTCTCTTTAAATCTCCGTGTATACATTATGTTTGCATTAGCAATGACACGAATCGCAGATTTAAAAAAAAAAATATTTATTTGTTATGCTAATCAACGTTTAAAAAAAAAATTATATTTATTTGTTATGCTAATCAACGTTTTTTTTAGATATACGCCCAAAATGAGTGATATAGCTGTTGTGAATTTTCAAATATTTAAATTATATATGGGTGTGAAAGAATTAATGTCCATCGCCATAAATTGGCAACCGTCTAAACTTGGGGTGAAACTAGGTCACGAGACAATCATAAACATTTCCGGGGACTTGAACGCATCATCAGACAGCATCGCAGTAACTGACGTCGGAGGCACGGGCGTGGACCGCGGCGGAGGCGGCGGCAGCGGGTGCATCGTGGTGGAAAGTAGGTGGCAGCAGCTCGACTGGTGATGGGGGAAGGAGATGGGGATGGAAGGCGTGCCTCTGGATAACCACCACTCCAGACCGAGCAGCGGTTGAAAACAAGCAGTCGAAACGAGCCGCGGACTTTTCTATATTCAATTGCAAAACTTTCTTGTACCGGAGCAACCATAGCATTAGCTTTGAGAGCTCAGCCCCCATTAACACTACTTTCTTAAAATTTAGTTTTTTGTTCCCACATCACTGACGCTTGGTGGCTCTGTTCTCTTAATGACTGCCATTGTCTCTAGAAGCAACAGTCCCACATGTCCTCCATTAGATAACACCCACCATGTGTTCACATTGAATATACAGCGTGTGAATATGTATGACTCAAAAACAAAACTGCAGGAAATAAGACGGGATATGAACAATTTAAATTATCAGGAGGGGAAGACTAGTAACAGTCATGACCTGCCATGCTGCTGGTACGGAAAGGTAAAGGTGTGACAACTAACCGGAAGTGACGGCTTATATTTCAGGCTATGTAAAATTGAGTGGTTTCCCCCTAATTTCTGGTTAGTGCATAATGTTAGATAATAATTTTATTTATATTTAATAGTTTAAATTGTAGGTTCTTTGTTTGGAACTGCTATAATTTTGCCTTTTTTCACGTCCTAAAAATGGAAATGTCCTGCATTTTAATAGGCTGAAATAATGTGAATTTTCAGATAAGGCAATGGCAATTTAGACAAATTTGTATCAGGGACTAAAATCATTGATTACTTTGGTGTACAGATGTATTTGAAACAATGTAGATGCAAAAAAAAAAAAAAAAAAAAGATTAATTGGATGCAGTTTTAATTGATTGTCAGACAAAGTGTGGCCAAAACCTGTCCCCCTCGTGTTGTGTGTTAAATAAATTTTAAATCACAATTGCTCGTGTTAAATAAATTTTAAATCACAATTGTTTTTTTGTTTTTTTTTGACATTGCAATTAGAAGAGGACATTTTTTGTATTTTAGTTGATGTTGGTTATAACACAGCTCTTACCTCCATATGTGTCTCATGTCTTATGTTTTCCAACTTAGGAGGGGTTTGGAGAAACCTTTTTTTCTTTTTCTTTTTTGAGAGGCCCAGTGTTGTGTCAAGTGATTGGCCTGGTGGATGTTTGTAGATCCAGCTTGGAAGGTATTTCCTGATTGGTTCCCCGCGAGCCGTACGGGTCACTGTTGAAACCCTTGTACAAGTGTGGTCATTCAGTGGCTGTGAACAGTGCTTGGTTTTCATCTCAGTTACATGTGGAGGCTCGGAGCCAGCTAGACCTGCAGAAAGTTGGGGTTGCTATGGCTGTGTCTTTGTTATGGCTTCATCGTTTACATGTTACTCTTCTATTTTTCCTACTGCCGGGTGAGTTTCAAAAACATTTCGAGTCTTATGTCCTTCTTTGTTTATCAAGACAAACTGATCTGTGCTGTCGTGGTTGTAAAATTAATCTTTAATCGACTTGTCTGCTTCCCTAATACTTGTTCTTGTGCAGTGGGTGGTTGTTCTAAGGTGGAACCGAGTCCCTGTGATTTGAGTTGTGCTGGTAAGGCTACTTATTTATGAAAAATGTATAGTAATTGACATAAAACATTACAGGAAAACACACATCGTCGTGTTCGATCTTGTGAATGATCCCGTCTCCACAGGCGGTCCTACCCCTGACCATTCCTTTCAGAAAGGGGTAAGATATACTTACAGGTATAGCACAACAGTTGCCACCACCCTTCACGGCTCCAATGCAGGCAGGAATGGATTGGCTGTGGACTGTGTGGTCGATATCGACGTGGTTTCCGAGTGCCATCTGACAATGCAGGTCAGACTTTACCAGCTGAAGTTAAATGACTCGTTCTGTGCGTGTAAAGAGCTGTTATAACGCCGTGTCACGCTCTGTATGTCTGCACAACAGATAAGAAATCCACAGATTAAGAGGCTTTCCCCGCAGAAGGAGCACTCTGTGCTGCGTTTGAAAGGACTGAGGTAGCGAGCACACAGGAGATTATCTATTTTTTAATATATATATATAAATAAATAAATACTCAATCTTTAATCTGATTATTTTCTCTTTTTTTTTCAATGTATTTAAATGCCTCTAACGGTCAGAGTGAAAGTTCCGATCATTGTGGAATGCGTCAAATGTTATTTCTTTAAACGTGATACTCTGTTCAGATGCTCCACTTGTCTGTTGTTGTGTCTCGGGGGACTCATCTGGTGTTTTTGTTTCCCAGGGAGTCACTGGAGAGAACGCGCCTCAATTTCTCCCTCCAGGGGGGAAAGGTCACGGCCCTCTGTCTCCAGGAAGGGGAGCAGGTGTGGGCCCTCAACATTAAAAGAGCCATACTGGGCATGCTCCAGACCTCCCACACGTCTGCCAAGCAGGAATTAAAAAAGGAGGTGAGGGTTGATGTGAGCCGATGTATTATTCATGGCCGTTTTACACACGGAGTGCAGCGGCTCCAATCGGTATAAATGTTTTGTCTTATACCCATTTGTGCTCATACTGCATCTAATCCTACCACTGTATGACATTGTAAAGCTGGTTATCCACGGTGCTTATTTGAATGTCTGTTCCTCAGACGGATCTTTACGGGACTTGCATCAGCAAATATGAAAGACGAGGAGGGTCTCTGCTGCTGAAGACCAGGAATTTAAAACAGTGCCATGAATCCAGGCTGGCAAAGTTCTGGCCTCATTCAGTAGCTCTGACTGAAGATACAGTGAGTTTAGTGCCTACATTACCAACGACAACGTAATGCAATATAACATTCCAGTTTAACAACATCTCTCTTTATATAATGTCTAATATTAATGATGAACTCAACTCATCAAGAGGATTCTTTCTGCCTTGTATCAGTCGGTGCAGCCACACCTGCACTGTGTTCAGCGGCGCGGGCCTACAGCCATGGAGGAAGTGAACTGCACAGAAACTGTTTCCATGGCCATGTGGTCCAGTAGTGCCGGGTTGGTGAAGACCAAGACGGTGTCTGTGCTGCTGTTGCTCAGAGCTCAGCCAGGAACACCTCCAGACGCAGGTATGGAACACCAGAACGTCACAGTAAGATAGGATGGATCCACTTTCTACTTTTCTTTTTTCTGCAGATCCTTTAAGTCACAGCGTGATGACTGACCTGCAGTTTGAAGAGCAAGGGTCTGCGGAACCAGGGAAATCCAGGCTGACAACACCACAACAAGTCAGTCAGTCTCTGAGGGTGTTGTGTAGTCTCACCTCGACACAACAACAGGTAGGATTCAAACAAAACACCACAAGTCTGATGCAAAAATGATCTCGAACCGCCCTGATTCCCCACACACACATGCTCCAAAACTGTTTTTTATTACCACTTCATTCATTTAATGTCAGGCTCAAATAATATCCAAATATATGAATAATAACATCTAATAGTGTCTTTATGGAGAAGTGTTCAAAGATGATTTCTTTCGAGGATTTAGAGGGTTACTTTCAGAGTCTTTCAGAGCCAAAGGCCAGGTCACACCGATGTAATTAATGTGCACAGATCAGCTGACTGTTGGGACAGAACAGCCTGTACTGTATGTGTGCTCTCCGTCTGCTCCTGTAGGCCTCGGAGGAGTTCCTTCAGCTGGCATTTCAACTACGACACCTGACTCCGTCCCACCTCAAGACACTTTGGGAAGAAGCATCTTTTAAGTGTCGCAACGATTGGTCAGTGTTGGATATGGATGTGGGCTGTAGGAAAGGTCGCCCTCTGTTGTTTTCACTGAAAAATAATTAAAAAAAAAAAACAAACCTGCTA